CTCACGAGAATCAGAGTCCGCTCCTGAGAGGGGCGATTCGATGGTGCTGCTGACTAGTTTTGTGTTTAATGGACAAAAATGAAGTAAGCGAAGACCCAACACATGAAAGAGGTCAAGGTTAATTAGTGGTTATCGCACTGCCCCATTGAATCCCATTGCGAACCCCTTTTCAGGTCACATTGAATGGTCAGGGTAATCTTCGGGTTATTTGGTGTCTAGCCGTCTTGGTACATTAATTGTATAGCCTCCTGTTGTAACCATAATCAATTCAAAGCGATATATGGCAAACACGAAACCGCTATTTTTACAAATTGCATAATCTAGGCTTAAAATGCAATTCTAAAAATGCAACGAGATGCTAGCAAGCCTCGATAAAAACATCTTACGTATTGTTTTTTAGTTCTCATTCCATAGTGTTGGGAAAAATGAAACAGTTTGTGCTGCTCGGTGTAGGAACTAATGCGAATAAACTTAACAAGTTCATTTTCTTCAAGAAACTCATGCAAGGTGTGGTAATGGCCTTTTAAATTGCGCATAAATTCGTCCTCTTGAAATTACTGCAGATGCTGCCGTGATGAGCTATACAACAGCATCCGAGATTGTGGCGATTTGCGCAAACAAACTCTCTCCGATAGCCTCATGGCTGTAAACATAATCTTGCTACAAGCGGACGATCACGCCGGATTCATTTATCCACTCTAGGGGCTCATGCGCGTCGCAAGTCTCGACTTTGACTGGGCAGCTAATAAAGGGTTCACGGAAGGTGCCCTTCCCCCAACCACCAAGTGCACCAAGCGCCAATACAAAGAGATTTATACTGGATTGGTTTCAACAACAATTAGTGGTGTCTTGAATGCAAAAAATGTAAGTCAAAGCACATTCACTTTAATTCTTTGCTTGGTAATTTACTGATGTGCCGAAAGATGGTGCCCTTTGATTTATGAGCCGAAACAAAAATGGTTTTGCCAACAAATGTGGGGCATAAATTGGTCGCTCTTAATGCAGAAAAAAGTGGGCTGCAGTAGTCTAATTCTTTGAATCCTCAATACTACGGTACCTTCCTCAACAATAAAATAAAATTTGGCTAGTCACAACTTTGCTAAGATTCGATGAAAGCAAAAAATTGGCGTTACTTAATCTACTTTCTTTCTTGTTGAGTGGTAATTTGGACAGAGTACTCAACCATTTCCTCCTGCAAAGTCAAAATGATAATGACATTAAAATATGGCCCTTGACACAAACACGACAATTTAAACTTTATTAAATCGGCACCTCTCTTTGGAGGAGCCAGAAATTGTGCCAATATTGTGGCATTTTGAATTCATTGCACAACGAATGTGAGGTTGCGTATCTCTTTTCCTCCCTAGCCTAGTAATTTAGCAAACGAACGACACTGTCGATTTAAAGTTAGCACATCTACTAGTCATAAGCAAATGACATGCACGTGATGGCAGGTGTCAATATTCCAACTCCATCTTCATATCTAGCAGATAGTTCTCAAAAATGTCTGGTGCCTTTTTACAGATGGAGCATTAGAGAAAAGCTTGAATGAATACGAAGGCAATAAGTTTGACTACCTTTTCTTAGCTTACTTCTTCCGAAATTTCAGTATTGTTAGTTGTTCGTTGTTCTCAGGAGGAATTCAAACAAACATCATCATCATCAACAAATATGTGTATGTGGGATTTTAAAAAGGAGTAGTCAGCCTTCTCATTTGAGAGTCATTAAAATAGGGTATAGGGAAGAAAAAACGGATACAAATCCCTTCTGTATGTCGAATGTACACATACTGCTCGAGTTCTGTACCCTTCTTCCTCCCCAGAAAAGTCTGAAGGCGCCACAACCAAAGGCGCAGTATGTGTCGTTCTCAGAGTTAACTTCTTCAGCCCACACTCATGGATGTGCCAACTGGGGAGAGCGATTCAAGCTTAGCGCCTTAGTTGCCCATGCAATCATGGTGAAGCAGCTTCAACATTTCTTGCCGATTTGCACCTGCCTTGGCCCATTAATGTGCCTAAACTTCAATTCATTATCTGTAGACTGTTGTGGTGTGGACCACAGCAACTCGAGTAGTGCCAACATTTTGGTGGTAGCCTTGAATTATGATCGCATAACTATCAATGATTGACGTGTTGGTGGAGCATGTGAAACATTTCAAAAAGCAAGGCTATTATCCCCTCCATCATAACAGGTGAGGATTTGTAGGTTGATGGTTATGAACGGACTGGAGCCATCCAGCAATGTCATAAAAAAGCTAACGAAGTGTGTCAGTTAGGCGTAAAACAAAAGTGCTAGTAAACTCGATATAAATTCTAAAAGTCTGCAAAAATATTTTCATTAGAAATGACATCCTGTTATTGAAATTTAAATTATCAAGCAACTATTAACTTCTTTTCATCGGATAAATGGCTGCAAAGTCTCTACTTACCTACGCAGACTCCCCATCCGTGGCGATGTCATGTACAGGCCTCAGGTAATTTATGCGCATTTGTAATGGCATCATACGCGGAGTCATGCATTTTTAAGGAAAAATGGAGGCTTTTGGTAAGGCTTTTTCGCCTATATGAAATCGGTACGCTCAAATAGGCCGTTTTTTTTATTACCGGAAGGTTAGTGCTACGTACAGTGTATATATTGGGGCATAAAATTCATCTGTGGTTTAAACAAAAACACAAAACCGGGATTTAAAAATTCACATAAGGTTGAAGGTTATCTGCAGCGAATCTGGTTACCAATTTAAAAGGATCGTTCTCCGTGTGTTGTCCTGTTTCCCTTTTGGGTAAAGTAAGTGAGAATAAAAAAGGAGGTACCCCAAATGTGCAAGCACCATTGCAGCAAAATGTCGTTGACGAGAGAACAATATAGAGGCGTCAGTCCTGCAATGCCTAATATTGTGGTCTACTAAACACTCTTCACAATCATGAAATTTCATCTTCCAAATCCTTATTAAGCCTATATTATTATAACAATAATACCGAAACACACTTGGAGATGTAATAAAAGGAAGAATTTTTCCCAACTTGGTACATTTATTTCCTGATAGATTAATTATGCAGATGAACTACAACCATCAGTTGAGTGCGTTGTAATATACCGTTAGCTGTGAGAATCATTCTGAACTTCTTGATCCATGTGAGTACCTACTTGAGTCGAACCCTGTAACCAACGGAGTGTGCTCTGTCGATGCATTGGCGCCACCCGTTCTAGTAAAGCTGATGATTATCAGTAGCTTCCATTGGTCCGACTCCGCGTACGGTATACTTCGCTCTATTTTTGCATTTTAGTAATAACTGCGAAACTGATTTCGAATTTTCCAATTCATTGCCCACGTTGAATGCATCCATACAAATCCACATCTGGCATCGAATTATGCCATGATGATATCTGTTAAAAATAGCTGTCCATACTTTTAAAACGCAATTTATATTAGTAACTATTACTCCTTGTGGTGCAAGCTGGTTGAATCAGACTATCCCCCAGCCCTTTAAAAAGAGAGAACGTAATATGTGAGACGAATTTTGATTCGTACTTGAATGAGACCATGTGCTTGCGTTGATTGAAAAGCTGAATCCTATTCGAATGACAAATGATTATGCATATCCCTTATATAGTTGAATTAAGAGATGAACCTAAAACTGAATAAAAATCGGATGTCAGTTGGGGTAAGAACAACCAACCGTAGACCAGGAAACAAAGGACTTCCCATCCTCAGGCTGGGCATCCCACAGTGGGTGTTGCCTGCCTTCAAACGGCGTCCTGCGACTTGGCACGTCCTCTAGTGTCCTCAGGATTTTTATTGGTCGCTTTTGTGGGGCTAAAATTAGATTCATCCGACCCTGGATGGCCCTCACAATTTCTAAAGGTACACAAGAAGTCATTTTGAGCAAGGTTGAACAGATTTGACTTCCTGGAAATAGATTATTTCTCAAAGGTCTTAGCAAGGAGGTTTTGTTTTTTACGAATGCAGACCGACAGTCACGATGATGAAGACGGTAAAATACAATGTTTAAAGCAGAAAAATGAGTCAATTATTTCGCGCACAAAATTAAAAAATTAAAAATCAACGAAATACTTGTTTCGGTAGTTAATCGGTACTCAGCTATGTGGGACTGACTTTATCATCGCAGTTAAATCGAGGCAAACTGAGGTCGCAGGCATTACTTGACGATTCTGGTGGAAGCGCATCCTAAAGCAAAAAGTAGCAAGCGTTCTGGCTGCGTTTGCAAAACATTTAGCATTTTTAACGAATTTTAGCATACCAGACGCAAAACAGAATGTGGGAAGTCTGAGAGTAAAATTAATCAATACGACCATCAAAAAATGGTCATAACTGAGTAGACATTTTGAAAATGTTCCCAAATGCTTCCAATTTGATACAGCGATTGAAACCAAGACTCAGGAACCCAGACTTGGCCGTTTTAAGAACTACGATTAGGTATAGAAGATAACTTAGCGTGAGTGGTATGTAGATGTAGAAAGTCAATCCACTTGCGATATAAGGAGAGAAAATGGCATCGATTGATCCCTTCTCTTTGCATTACTTTATTAGTTAGAATTTAATGTAGAAGCCAAAAAGAACACAGGACATTACGAAGACGTAGTTACGACATGAAATGACTATGCAGACAGGTCGCACCGTATGCATTTAAAATCGCCATCTCTGCCAACCTAGACAACATTTTGATAGGGTGTCGTCATGAGTGTGTGGTAAAAAAATGTTGTGGTTTGCATATTATTGGACAGCCCACTTGCTTATTTTAGTTTGTGAGAATGTGAGCACAGCCTACGTTATCGAATTTGTGAATCAGAAGAACAAGAGTGCTCCCATGCGATTGGTGTTTGATTGTTGGCCAATCATTTTCCTACAATATTCTGATTGGATGCTCAGCCAACTGTAGTCTGATAAGACACCAACTTTTGCGGCGCAGACCTGCGACAAATGTTGCCATAAGACCTTAAATGCGGAGATTTCAATACCATCTCATAAGTAGTTGAACAAAATGAAAGAAGTCTTGAAGTTTCAAAGATTTTTAATTCTAATGCTATTTTCAATACCTTCATGTCTTTCAACTCCGGGTTTATTTAACTTCAGTCAGGAAAATGCATTTATTGAAATTGACACACAACCCTTTTCATGCTCCCGAGATATTCAAAAACTTTTCTCTATATCGTTTGACATCCATCTGCGCACCAACTCTTCAATACTTTTTACGGGAATAAGTGCAAGTTTGGCACCAGAAACTACATCAGAAGATGCTCTCAAAAATTTAGACGCTCCTGGACTTCATGGTGCCCCCCTTGCTCTATTTATCTACACCGAGCGGCCCTACTTCAGACTCATGGTGATGCGACTAACAGATTACCAGGTGCGGTTCTACCTCCACCATGCTTTTGGTTATTTCGATAGAAGCTGGAGAGATTGGCATAGAGTGGAAGTTATTTTCACCCGAGCTGGATCCACACGAACAGAAATTCGGTTCAAAGTTGACCAAAAGACCAACAGGGGTATGCTGCACACAGGCGATATACTCTGGCCCGATTGGGCGGAACTCAAATCAAAGGCAGCCTCTGAAAAGACTACCAAAAGAAAATTTTATTCTAATGAGGCTTTTCTTGGTTTTCCCCCAACTGGCACAATGGCACGCTTTGCTACTGACACACTCATAAAATACCACGACGATATCCGATCTGTCTTTGTCGGCGCCAGTGAAACAAATGGATATGAGGGAAGCCATGTGCCAAAATTTGGACCCTTCAGAGGCGCAATGAAGTCGTTTCTCATCGCAAGCGAGTGCGCCTGTGGAATGATAAGTGCTTTCGGTCCAAGAATTGTGCAGATCGGATCTGGCATTGAATTTCAGAGCGTTTGCGATGTAAGTGCGGTGCCTCCTCTTGGCGCAAATATCTCCGGCCTTTGTCGCAGCAACGTTAGCGGACTTCCTTGTGGATGCGTTGGAAGTGGAAATTGGCTCAAATGCTATTGTCCTCTCGAACGTCACTGTAGTGCGCTAAAACCCATCGGTAGGTCGGCTTTTCTTCACACTCATTAATGCGACTAGTTCTGAAGCTTCATAGACCGTCATTACTGGCATTAATTACTGGACGGTGGTAGCACCATGCTTTCAAAGTGTGAGCATGCAAATGACGAAATGTCTCTACATTCTCCATTTTGTACCTTTTGTAGAACGTTTAGAAACTACTCTTGATCTTCTCTGATGTTTGAAATAACACTTCATGCAATCCTGCAGCTGCTTTCATTAGCAAAACCGTTCCACCACTAGGGCAGAGGGCAGAGAAGGCACAAAAAATGCACGTCACTATCATTCATTAAGCTAGTCCAGATGAACGAGGCTCTGTTTACATTTAAACTGATCTGCTTTTTCGTGGTCCTTGCATATAGTGATCCTTCATTTCCACTTTGATTCCATTCACTCTGCATGCTTAGTGCTATGTCGTAAGCTAATGAGTTAATCAGCAAAAACATAAGTGATTGCGTTCTAGTTTGCTCTTATGTTAGTACTTTAAGCAAGCTAGCATAGCATGAAGAATCAATGCTTGGAAAACGTTAGTTCCTTCGTACTATGTTGCCTTAATGGCAGAATATGTGTTCCATGTACTAGAGCATCATATCGACAGCACACCTTGGCATCATGGAAGAAAAGTAGTTACTTTCAGTTGTGCTGAAGCACTAATGATGCACTTATAAATAGAGCGCACTAATTAGGAATGGTGGAAGTGGTGGTAGCGGGGTTCGGTAAAAACACGCACATCTGTGAATGGACTATGCACACAATGGGTGCAAAATAGTTCTAGGCGCACTCAGAGTTTGAAGGTCCCAAATTACGGGACCCTTGGCATCCAGTTCAAAAATGAAGTTAAATTAAAAGTCACTATAAAGTGTCCTGTAGAGTCCACGTCTAGTCACTCTCCGTGTTCATCCATGAGTGGTCGGCCACCTCTTCAAATGGTAAAGCAATTTCACACGAATAGTATGCCGTGAGTGTGATCAGCAGGATTGGAGAAAATTCATGCACGAAGTAATTTTAGTGGCGGTGGGTAGTTGCCAGTGCATACTCTTCGTTGAAGTATCGCATGTCGGAATGACTAACGAGGGTGAGTCACAGCTCGAAGCGCACCAAACAGACTGGAAACTGGCTTTTGAAGGGATGCAAACTCATAATAGACGAAACTAAATTACATGGTGTATACTCGTCTAACGAGGTTGCACCAGTGTAGACGAGCCTTTGGTTTTAGACTGCTCACTTAAGGACCCTATGTTTGGAGGTTGTTTTCATTCAACTACAACACAGGTGTCTGTCACATTTTTGCTTGCTTTACTCGTCGAAAATGTAATTGTGGTAAATTTATTGCAGACTTCAAATCTACACGTGTTGGATTGCTTTTGAATGGTTCAACAGTGCCGGATTTGAGCAAAGAAGCTGACACCTTGGTGCTTTATGAGCAAAGACGACCATTGAAATTTCTAGCTGAAGGTCCTCATACCTATAATCAAATGGATTCATGCTTTTCCAACATATTTCTCTGCAAAAAAGGTGCGATCTAGCTCTTTTATAATTCCTCTCAGATTAAGATTCTGATGAATGACCGCTTCTTTTGCAGATATCTATTACAAATTTTGGATGCGTGTTGACCCAACCGCTTTGATGAACGGATCAACCATGGTAATAAAGCATGCATCACATCTTAAATCGCCATGGCACATGCAAGTCTCTTACAAAGGCCTTCCCAAAAGGATCGCAGATCCGGAGCATATTATGAAAATCGCGGTTGAGATACAAGCTCCACCACACTTTACTTGGAACATTGATGGTTGTAGCAACAAGGTTCGTGTTGTGCTTGGTCAATGGCATCAAATCACAATACGTTGGGACAGGAAAAATCTCACCCTTTTTGTCGATGAAAACCTATGCTGCATTGCTAGTCAAAGAACTCAGGTTATCATCCCAAAAGCGGACCAACGATTTGGCTCTCGTCGCACTCCCTTCCTCTTTATTGGCAATCATAGGGTTCAAGATCTTATTTTCAACGATGTGGGCCTTCTGCCTTCTTTCTTTCGCTTGACTAAACTAGCGAACAATCATGGAGAGTTATCAGTAAACGCCATTGTAAATCGGGGCGATTTCTACTCAGTATTTCGGCTGGACAGATTGAAACCGTTTTCGTCCGTACAACTACCTGGCGTAAATGTCACCGTGGTTGGTGTAGATGAAAGGCTTGCGGTGCTCTCCAGACGACAGGACTGCAATGTCTTTCGGTTGCCAGTGGGTTGCGTCACCAGCGACTCATGCAGTGTGGAGGTGGAGCGTCGGGATTCTAACATCATTGTGCACAGTTGGAACGTTCAGCTGAACACTGAGACTGACTCAGAGCTCTGTAATATAGCACGACAGCAAATTAGCCACGATGGTCTGGTGCCAAATTCCCAGATGCTTCTGTTTAATCGGAGACGCAGTGAGTTACTCAGACGACGTCTCATCCAAACAAGTAAGTAGATTTGGTGACAAGAAACGATTTTTTATAGCGATTTTGAAAAGGGGTCTTGTCAAACTCCTCTGTGTTGTTTTGCTCTAGAAGCCTAGGGTGTTTTGTTGTTTTGAAAGCAATAAAAATACATTTTGTTGCATTGTAGGGACAGAGTGCCTTATGGCTCGATTTTATGATCAACTAGATAAATACACCTTTAACGACATTTTTTCAAAATTTCATGACCGATGTTAACTTTGTGGTACGCACTTGTGATGAAGGAGAAACGATTTCGTACGATGTCCATTTAGACCTCAGCCTTTATTATTCAAGAGCTGCATGTTGTTCCCACTCTACACGACACATTTACGGTCACTTTCATAGTGCAGCCTCCTCATAGGTGTGGTTGGATAACATTGCATAAACAAAATGATGTGATTTGGTCATAAGACTTGTTCCAAGTTGGCTTTTAAAGAGGCGAGTGAAAAATAAACAATTATTTTTATGTCATTTGATCAGCAGAACATCAAACCACATAGATCTTGAGGCCTTCAACTTGGTGCTTATCCCTTTTTTAAACGAAAATTTTAGCAATTGGCGACCGAAAGATGTTCACTTAGGATTTGAGCTTTGCTTACAATTAATTTTTTTGAAAAGTCTTGAAATATTTCACTTCACCCTAAAGCACCTATTTTAGCACATTTCCCAAATCTACGCTGCAATTTCGACCATCTGCAGCCCAGTTCTAGAAGTATGCCTCTGGATCTTACGGGCTTGTGCGAGATGACAGAGGCATTTCCAAACTACCGTGTTCAGTCTAAAGGCGACTTTACAAAATCGCCTGTAGATGGGACCTTGGAGATTTCAATGAACCAACTAGTACTTCATCCCCTTTCCACCAATCTGGAATCTTACTGCCTTCAGGATCTTGAGATTTGCCAGTTCGGTCTGACTATGTCCTTCTGGATGCTCCCCTTGACTGCCACCAGGGCCCCCAAAGTCTGGACTATTGTACGACAGAATGGACTCTCAGGAAGTCAAATTTCCGTGGATCTCGTGCAAACAGACAACCAGTATAACCTGGAAGCGAAGGTCAAGAGTATGCAAACAATTTCCTCAGGAAAGGCGACATCAAAAATATGGACAACGAAAGCAAGTTATCCATAAACACATTGAATAGATCTTTGCAGACTGCCACCTTGGTATTGACTTGTGTTTTCGTTAAATAAGTAAAGTTCTGCTCAACAGTTCTTGGAACTGGAGAAGTTTTTGCAAGCTAAATGGCACCAAAATTTTTAAAAAGACGAGACTGTAAATCTAGCACCACAAAATTTATGAAGGTTTTCAAGTCGACTTATCCGGTTTTGATGTATGCATAGTGATGTGCGCTGCATGCATACGCTAAACGCCAAAAACAGTTGACAACACCAAAGTGCAGTTTATCGTAATTTTCCTTTCGCGATCAAGTAACTAAAATCGGAAAAATCGGCTCCAATGGGCCATTTTCAGAGATTAAAGAAAATTAAAGTGCAGACATGATTGATATCTGCCAATTAATATTAATTGGCTTTCTAAAGGTTCTTTTAAAGGCCATCTTGGTGCCGATTTCACGGAAGAGGGCCTCTTTTTATGCCTATCGCAGATACTTTAGAAGCTCCTTCACAAGAAGTCAAACAATGTTGTTGGTCTGATTCTTTTAAAGCCTCCACTTATGACAGTGTTTATCATCAAAAAAGGGTACTTGTTCAAGTACATACCGAAAATACTAGACCTCTTTTCCTTAGGCCAAAATCAGCACAGCAGATGGTTTATGGACGCTTGTAATCGTCTCTTGGTCGCACGTTGCGGGTCTCTCGGTCAAACTCAATGACACTCTAGTGAGTGCCGCTAGAGAGTCTTATGAAGAAATCTCGAGTTGGCCAACACCTGTTGAACCGGGACTCTGGTTCGGTCATCGTGAGGCGCACACCATGGGAGAAGCCGTGATCATCGACGATTTTCAATTTATCCCCGCGGAACTGAATCATCTGGCCTTTGTGAATCAAAAAATAGGTAAGCTAGAGTTTTAAAAAAGATTTTTATTCACACGATAATATGAGTTACAGTAAAAGTCCTCTTTTTCATTCAGATGTTGAACTATCAAATCAGGGTCTGAGGCTTTGCAGCTATGCCACCTGCCTGGATGCTTCCTCATGCCATTCATTCCGGAGCAATAACTTCGTCCGAGAAGAATTGTAAGCTTATGTGCTGTAGGCCAATTTACATAACATTGCTTTGTTTAAGAGGTGAATCTTCATGAGAGATTGATAGGAAACGAACGTCCTCTCATTTTTAGTCAACAGAGTAAATTGAATTCAAAGCAAACGTGCATGAAATCCTCTCAGACAAGAGGCAGAAGAAGTGAATTTATCGACTACAAATAGTTGAATGTAAAGTTATGCTCATTTCCCTGACTGCAGATTCACCAATTGGGTCCACAATTGTGCATTTAGTCAGTACAAAGGACTCTTATCTTAATAATTGTTTACGAATAAATTTCTTGCTAGTTAATTATTTGTAAATCTGCTTCAATGTGCACAACCTTTCCACCTTACTAGTAATGAACGCAAAATAGGCTATCGTTGCATCTTGCACATATGACTAGCGCACTTCCGTGGTTTCCAGAACACTCGCACTACTGCCTTCTTCCCTTCATAAGTTTGCCTACCTGACATGGGTGCCATCAACTTTTGGTGGCAACAGCGACGGAATATTTTCAACAAATCCGTTTCCCTTATTCGTTGTTGTTAAGGCTTGAAAATTAATGGGCTGTCATTGTGCACCAGGGCTTTTATTCTTGCCCAGTCCGTCGTGACTGTTAAACTCACTTTGTTTACCAATCGCTTACAAGGCCTCACATTACAGTCTTTGTTCAGAACCCCCACGACAAGCTGACATGTTTAACATGTTTGGCGTTGACACCTTGATTTTTGTAGTCATAACTATGTGCTAAGTTAAGCCTATGGTGAAACGTTCATTAAAAGGTCCCACAAGCACAGTGGCTGAGGCCCGAAACAATCAGATAATTGTAGTGTTTTGGGCTGAAGATAATTGTCCTTTGTGATTTATGTACAACAACTGAATTGCTTACTTTTGCTGGGCAATTGTTGGCGTCACTTCAGGAGGGTAAAGAATTTGGTCCATTCCCTGAAGACTGGAAATCCTACGTGCCCACCAAACTATGAAGCCTTACATATTCTCACATTTATTTGCGTAAAGAATCCATGTTTCGTAGGTAGCGAAGACGAAATGTACTCATAACTTTGATATTTGCATGGTGTGAACAGTAAAAACCACGAAGGTAAATTTTACACTACCTTACCTCGAGCTCGTTAATGGAATCGATGATCCGCTGCGCCCTGTCAAGGGCGCTTGTCTTTACTCAAACTTGATCGAATGTTTAAGAACATAAGGTCTAGACCAAAGCTTCAAACTGGTTTGCAAAAAAGTGTGGGGTGTAATTGTCGCAACCCAAAAACATCCATCTCCAAAATAGGTTGACTTTGAACCTATTTTTGACAATGTGAATGGCAGATAGTCGTTTTTACTGTTATTAATGGACCAGTTTCCATCCTTCGTTTATGGTATGCTAGACTCTTCATGTTTAGGTAAAAACTGAATTAATAATTCATCATTTTGATTTTGGCATGACACTTTTGTCAATGAAGGGGGTAACCACATAGTTAAGCAAAATAGCATTAAAGGTGCTAAGTGTTTTTTTATGCAGTTGTCGTTGCGAGAATCCGCATCGTGTGTGCAAGGAAGCCTTGGTTGCATCCAGAACTCCTAAGGTGTTAATAGTGCCCAAAGCATCTCCGACTCCACCATCGTGGTCGCCGCTCTCTCAAGCTCGAAGCTGGCCAGCCTCCTCTTCGCCACCGCCAAAAACTACAACCACAGTGCAGCCCACAATCAAACCCATAATTAGTGTGTCTGAAACCACTACTGCTGTAAATCATTCCCAAACCAAATATACGGGCACCGCTAAATCACGTTCCTTAGCGCCCCAGTCGCCGTTGCAAAGGGACACCGTTTCTTCTATGCCTTCGTGCAATCCGCCATGCCAAAACGGTGGGAAGTGCGTGTTCTCAACAATTAATGGTGATTTTACATGTGACTGCTCCGAAACGCCCTTTTGGGGAAGTGACTGCTCCCGTGGTAAGTGACATTGATGTCTACGTATTGGTGCGTTCTAGCTCCTTGGATCGAAATGATAAACCAATTAGTTGTTCCATCAAATGTTCACAACACTTTTAAAATAAAGCACAAATTTTACTATCCTGAGTAACTGCATTCCATTAAAAACTGACAAATTGCAGCATAATTTGAAGCTGTGGATAATTTTTCTTTAACTTTTAGAACATGTCGGCTGGCTTGCCCATGATAGTGGAGTTCCTGACGTCGATTCAAAGCAGAGATTGTTTGCAATTTACAGAACAATGAATGGTAGCACTAAACAGCGATTCATCTTTCGAACTCAAGCATCTAATAAACTGGATCCCATCCCGAGAAGACCAACTCGAAGGTCTATTAGCCAGCCTTCAGCATCTGGCCGGATGGCGCTCTTGACGGTCAAAAATGACACCTTCGCTTTTAGACTAGTCTTGGTAGGTTGCATTCCTGCACTGATGGTTAAGACCTAACGATTGTGGCAAATTTTCTACTGCGTTATCGCTCGACCGGCATTTTGCAGCTTCGTTTCGTCTTTCCTACTGGCATATTGGCTCCGCTGTGTGAGAGGGTGTGGCGTTTGTGCCTAATCTGAGAAATGGCAGGACAGTGTGTAATTTCCTTTCCTTAAATGGACGCATGCATACAAAAGTTATTATGATTTCGGTGTCGTTAACTCTACACCTAAGTTGTTGATGAATGGAAAACTCTGCTAGTTCTACGACCTAGCCTGGCCCGCCACCATTTCTAAGCATGCGCAGATAGTTCCAACCATGTTTTTAGTAGCTGACAACACCGATGCAGCAATGACAAAAGCCGCCCAGTAAACCTTGATGGTATCAACTGCCCGTAGTGAGCACGGAATAAGGGAGGATTTTGTCAATTACAAAATTAAGCAGTTATAAAAACCTCTTTTTACCTTACTAAGATCTGAATTTCCGATTTTAACGTAAGTAGTCTACAAGCTTATCTACGTTCAGTCCGTCTCAAAACAGACAACTGACTGGACTATTTATCATAATAAAAGGACTGTTTACGAACTGAAGTAGGAGGATATTTTGATGAACGAGGATCCTGCTTCAATGCCTCTGTGGCCGAAATATGCGCGAGTTGCACTTTGCTGGCTACTCAGCGCATCTTACTACACTGATTGAAAACCATTTCCACAACTTGCTTGTATTGCTTCATCTTCACATTTAATGGGTTAGATAAATCGCGACCTCTACCTCGTCACTGAAGGCGACACAACTTCTCTATTCCGGTTGATTCCATGTGCTCAGAGCACCAGTCTTAAACTAAATGATGGAGCTCTTCACGCTATTGAAGTGGAACACCATCAGACCTTCTTGCGGGCAAAAGTGGATGGAGTTCCTGTTTATCCAGTCAAAGCGGTGTCACGGTCCTGTGACAAGTGGTTCTTCTTCAGCATCGTTAAAAGCATGAACAGTAAGTAACTTCACTCACGCTTACTATTATAGCAGTGCAAGGATTTTTAGATTATATTGTTGATTGGTGACTCGATGACCCGATCGTAAACTTGCCCCTTACCACTATCCTCAATTTACGCGCAAATTAACACGAATGCCTCGAAGTTATAGTCTAAACTTTGGTTTGCAGATCGCCTCTATGCGAAAAAGATGATATCAATGAGCGGAGAAGCCAACCCTTCATTGGTAAATGCGTTTCTCGGGTCATGGTCCGACGGGAAAGAGGAATTCAAGGGAGCTATCGGAGGTGCATATCTTAATCATGGTTTTTAAACTGAATGCTGGGAAATTGACGGATGCCCTTTTGATGACCGAGGAAACTACAACAAACATTATTCAGCTGTCAGTATATTTAATTTTAGGTCAAATCCTAAGTCTCAATACACTTTTTTAAAGACTGCAAAACGCACAAAACAGTTTATGCTTCCACACATTAGTATGATTTCGGTGTGACTGTAGTCCCGGTTCATGCAGTAGCACTTTAATTGCATCGACGTTCTAGTTATTACCGTTTCAAATGTTACTTTTCTAGAAATAAGTAACAATATTAGATTGATAGGCTACCAAACAAAATATTTCATTCAATTACCGGGTGACTTACGCATCAAGATAATGGTAGCATTGTTGCATCAACTCAATAGAGGGGGAAGGAAAAATTAAGAGGATTTTCAAAAATTTGTTACAGGGTGGATGGTTGATGACGAGGAGATGATTATGCCTGTCACCGTGGAGCCTAAAGATACTCCCAACACAGTGTACCACCTGAACAGGCGCTTCGGTCTCTCCAACGGCGACTTCGATTGGAGAAGACTGAATTCCCTCATCCCCGTCACCGTTCTCATTGATGGCGGTGAGCAAACAAAGAGTTTATCATCTCCATGAAAGAGCCATTACAATCGGCCCATTAACATCTGATGTTCATCTTATTTGATCTCCCCAGTCTGATTACTCCTTAAAAAGGCTTCATCTCAGCCCCTCCAAAGCATAACGATGGATTAGTACATCATTATAACGGAAATCTGCGGAACAATTGAAGTTGGCAGTTGTCTCCAAACACACGGAAGATGGCTTTGAGTTACGGTTCAGTCATGAAACCCACCTTAACTTATTAGTTCACTCAAAATAATCACAAATGAAATCATTCGAAAACCTCCTGCCAAGTTTGAATCATTGTGTTCTATTCATGTGCAAGGTTGGTTTTGTTTGAGGAGTAATGCCTATTACAGGTAATAATTTCACCAGATTACTTCATAAAAGAGTAAAGAAACTTAAATATTTTTGCTCCACTAGCAAGCATTTTCAGTTTGTACCGATACAGTGACCTGTAACGGTTAATTTTATTATGCCGGTAGCTAGATATGTTTAACGCACTTAGGGAGCATGCATGTCTGTTGTATTTACACTGAATCAGCGGCACACCAGACATCTCAGAATATCTGTGGAGCATGTGTCTCGCATTCCTTTATTAGACCTGAAGAATACGAAATTCATTCCCACAGCATCCCAAGCGCCGTAAGATTTCTGCTATCGCATTCACTATAAGGGCTTTGCCTGTACCTTTCTCATGCCCATGGCTGTAATTCCTAATGTCAAAATAACAGCTAATCTTTACAGCTGCACTGGCCCTGGCTTTGGAAGGATTTTTTAATGTCTACAACAATCAGCAATCATTTCAGTAAGGCAGATAAATTAATGTCTCTCTTTCCAGCACTTATTTTCACATGCTGATAGCAATCGTTTTTTACGAAAATCTTAGGGTTTTTCATAACTTGGAATGCCAGAAGCTGTTCAACATCGGTAGTGATTTAACAAACATAGCAGTACCAACAATAGTAGCAGGTGTTGTGGTAAAAATTCTTTCAAATAGTTACTTGAATGCGTAATCCGCGCCAAATTAAAAGCAGACTGTAGAAGAGATAAGCGGTGACAAAACTTCTTTCGAAGGAAAACTGTACTTATATGAATCTACCTTTTGGAATTTCAACATTGTTGATGTTAAACGATGGGTTTTGCATAGTGCTGCCTTGTTGTGTGACAGATGAATGGAAGTCCTCTTATACTAACGTAGTGGTCACGAAGACATCACCCGGTTTCTCCAATACGGTGTGGTTTTGGATCGTTGGATGCATCAGTTTGGGTCTGCCTCTGCTCCTTTTCGTCTGTTGGGCCTGTGCTCGTCTCCATAGCCAAAGGAAAGCCGGTAGGAAAGGAGTCTGGCACCGCAGTTACCCACTCTTCAAGCCTATGAAGGCAAAGTTGCCGTCACCAGCCAGTCGGATTTCCTCCAACAGCTCTATGCACCCGCTGAAGAGCAAGGATGAAGCCTCATCCACACTCACCAACGGTAGCTATGTGTCACCAAAACTACGCAGACTTAAGGCCTGTAAGTTTTCCTTACTTCTAATAAAAAGCAGTTCTTCTTATAAAGTTGCTCAACTTTTGTATTTGTTATTTTGAAACTACTTTTAAGAGCTCGTTTACTTTCCTCAATAAGGTAATGGTTTTATTCCTGTTTCACTAAGTTTACTGTATTCTAGGACTACCGATAAAGGAAAAAAGTTTATATTTTAGACACAGCTCCCTGCAATGACAGTTCGGCATTAACAACGGACAGTCTGTGGCGGGCGAGAGTGCTAACTCTTCAGCCTTCAATGAAGTGGGTATTTTTGGTTCTTCTCAACACTATTTGTCTGCATAAAATTAACAAAATAATTTGTACGATCATCTACTTGCAACTTAGCTTGTCAATGTAAAGGAAATTGTCTGAGGTGATGCGGGAACTAAGATATCCAATAGGTTGAAACTAATCTAGATTACATTTGATAAATAGGACGAAGTCTTTTAAAAGCCGGCTTCAAGCCCAACGAGACTTAGAAAGCCTCCGCGTTTTCGATGGGATCCAAAAGCCTTAATGGCCCAATTTCGCAAGGCGTGGATGTGTTGCTGAGATTGGGCGGCAAGGTGTATCTGAGCACATTAGTCTTACAATGAGATATACTTTCTTACATTGTGTTTGAATCCAACTACGCTTTGAAATGGAATATGCATATTTAGTGGGTTGTTCACTGTTATGCTATGCCCATCCACCTCATCAAAATCTCAACTATTCAATTTTCTGCCTGAACAGACTCGGGAGCATTGTTAGTTCAAGCTCTCCCACTGCAACATCGACCACCAGCCTCTGCCCTTTCGACGAGACCGATGACGTCGAGGAAATCTTTGTCACACCAAACGGAGATTCAGTAATTACTCTGGCCACGAACCACGGCACCTCCATCAAACAATGGAACACCTCTGTGGGTATTTCGGTTTCACATCAAACCTGGAGGCAAATACGAATGCAAATTACTATAACAATAATCTAAGCTGATCGGTTTTAAAATGGAAATAAAAGCCACCGAATAAGGTGAAGCTGGATTGCTTGAAAGCTGGGTATGATTACGAACCACATGCAGGAACCGACCAGTGTGCTTAACCTTTTCCAGCTAAGCAATAATAGCGGAAATCCTACCGATCTATCCAAGTCAAAGTAAAATGTCAGCACACGCGCATGCAGCCGAACTTTAGAAGGGGAATAAAGCAGTGCCTACTTCATTATAGAACTCCTACTAAAACGGCCTCACAGCTCCTTGCGTTGGCTTCCATCATAAACCTGCCTTAGTCACTACCACCAATTAACAATTTCTTCTTTAAGTAACTCAGGACGAGATCACTTCTGCAATTCACTCTGCAATTTCCCTTCCCTTTGTTAAAGCGGAAACCATTGAAGAGATAAGAGTTATCTTAAATGGTGAAGACGCTCCTGCAAGCGTATCGTTTTGGACATGTAGTGTTCCTTAGTCATGCTGTCACACTGCCCTTGCCTACATTTGGTAGTAAGGGATCAGCGAGTAAATGTTTTTATTCCTTCACCACAAGGATTCGAGAATTGCTAGAGACTGTCTTGACCTCTTGTTGTAAGGCTTTTCTCATGCTTTTGCCACTAATGCCTTATTTATTTCACGATTTTGATAGGATGGCAGCTGTCAGAGGGAGATTTTATTCAGACCCAAAGGCCAGTCAGAAACTAGAACTTTTGGAATTATGTCACTTCATGAAAAGATTGGTCTCTTGCTTGCGGACGAAAAAAATATTGCCCATCTGCATCCACTCAGTGCTGATTTGCCATCGGCTACCGTGCAGTTGCCTTCAACTGTATGGGGCGTTTTTCCTATTGGTGACCTCGCTCTTTTTGTCACCTCTACGGCTGGTGCCACAAACGACGTCTTTGCATCACTCCACTTCTGGTCGCCATCCTCCAAGGCTTTGGTGGTCGAGAGTCAACTGAGAGCCAAGCCCTCATGGCAAAAGAAAGGCTTCCTCCCACAAGACGCTAAGAGATTGCAACCCCTTCTAGGTCCCAATCAGGCAAATCTTCTACTTCGCTGGCTCTGTCCCAGTTCTGAAGACTATTCCTTCTCCATAACAGTAAATCTCTCCACAGTCTATGGTGAATTGAAGTTCAATATGGAGCCTCTAGTCTCACTGGATCCTCATATTTCAACGATACTAGTGAGACATTCTATGAATTTACATGAAACAACTTTCCTCACAGCAGAAATCGCCGTTACTGGTGGGTGTTGGTAATGAATGAATAGTTCATTAGTAAAGCGCTTAAGAAAGATCATAAGTGAGTTTGCATTTTAGGCGATTCCCGTGGCACTTTACACATTTGGGATGTGCAAACTGGCACAACATACCGCTCTGTGCAGAGCGATCCCATCCCCATTGATGGTCCACTTCTCAAGAATCTGGTGCATTATGACTTTTCTCGTCTGAATGTATCAGCCAAAGCCGGTCCCATCACTGCGCTGGCGGCGACCGAACCTCACCCGACCGAGGGTGGCAGCTTCACGTGGTTCTGCTCGGGAGACGACTCGGGGTGCGTGGTTGTGCGCCGATGCGTGGCCACGACTAGCGGTGCAGCAAGAAACGTTGCTACGAGAATTCATGCGAAATTTCGACCCTATTCCCAAACTCATCTAACCTACTCAGCGGATAGCGTCACTTGCGCTAGTCTCCTCAGTCGCTCTCAATGGCGGAAAAAAAAGCCGGAGGCTTTTTTGGCCACTGGTGATCTTTCGGGCTGCATTCGCGTTTGGCTGTTGCCTCAGTGCACACAACTGGCTCAGCTCTCCGCTTCCTGCGAGTTTGGCCTCCGAGATCTCGTGCTCACGCAGTCAAGTCCCTCTATGACCCTGCCTGACCAATGGTTGCAGGTAGTGGGGCTGGTGCGGCGTGAAAAATGTGTCAGTTCTAGGTACGAGCAGGGACATGTCGTCATAATTCACTTGAGTGCGAGAGAGGAAAACGGTGTGCCCAACGCCATGCACAGTCCTCGCATCAGAATTGTGTACAAGTCGTAGATGCCTGATAATGACAAATCACACTGACGTGTTGTTACCAAAAGTCATCAACAACTACTAATCATTTAATTTTATTGTTTTATATTTTGTGTATATTCCTGGATTACGATTATGTTTAGCGTTTTTTTTTCTGTTCAGTTCCAACATAATACCCTCTATGTATCACTGATTCTCCGCCATTTTCCTTAATTAGACTCGGTTTTAATGTTATATGACACCGAGTTGGGCTGCCTCACGCCTAAACTGAATTGAATCTCGCCTCTATCGAAAGAGAGGCATAACACACTCCCTTTCTCCTATGTCCAATGCTATACATGAGGCCATTTTGTTACCAGTCAAGAAAATGTACAAGTGCATATGCATCCGATTAATAGTCCGTACCGTTTTCAAAACGAGTTGAGAAAAACTAAAAGGTTGTTTTTGCTTGTCAGTTTTGCATATCACACGTTTTCATCTGGCAAGCTGAATGGTAGCAAGAGTGACTCACTCCGGACTAAGCAACGCTCTTTCGAACAAAGGCGCGAAGACAATTCTCCTCATGCCACCATACGTCAAAACTGACTTCGTGTTTTCTTCAGCAAGAATTTGGTTTTAGTCCAATGCAAGAACAGCTTAACATCGCGACAGATTCTGCCTTCTTGATTTTAAGACAGTGTTCTTAATATCGAAACATTTGTAAGTTTTAAAGTTGTAATGAACGAAAAATGTAGAACACAAACTTTGCTTCAAACGTTTATGCAGCAAGTAATAGTTCAACAGATCCTATTTGTCAGCATTCAAGTTATCCAGTCACTTGGAACTGTGTAAACACTTTATGGACTTGTTGTTCATGTACTGCCAAGCAGTACTTGACTTCAAAAATGAAACACCACGGTTCGGTCTACAGTCTTCGAACCGCACGCTACACCCTCATCCTTTCCCAGGGCCTACAGCTGAACATAGGCATCGTGAAAAGGTGCATTTCGCTCATGTTTGATGTCCCATGGGGATGTGGTGAATTTCGATTTACTTATCCTGAATGAGTCGTTA